AAGAAAGAAAGAAAGAAAAACACCTCAGCGTTTCACATATTCACCTTCTCTTCCCCAACTTTATTATTCACATAAACAAAAACTCCCCTTAATAGAATTGTCTTTATTTTATATTGTTGTTAACCGTAACTATTTTTATTTAAATATATTATAAATAAGCTGTATTTATTGAATTATTTATTGTATTTTATTTTGTATGTCATCCCACCTTTGTCAGAAGCCCCAAGCCCCAGCCTGCAATTTTATTTACACATGCGATCGGATATATGTTCAGAAAACTGGGCTGGTCTATTGGGCCTGATAGGCCTATCCAAATCCTGACCCCCCATTAGCCCAAGTGTGATGTATAGGGAGTCCATGGCCCATGGCTTAATGAGTAAAAGTGAATGTAGTTATTGTGGATATACTATACGCAAGGTTATTCTAATTCGTCTAATTTTTTAATTATTTATACAAAGAAGAAGAAGCAGTTAAAAAAAATACTCGTCATGGGGTTTGTCTTTTGTTCTCTAATAAATAAAAAGATAAAAAAAATAAAACAAATGAAACATTGAAATTAATATATGTTTGTGAAAAATCTAAACCATTTATGTGTGTGTGTGTGTGTTTATTGATATATAAAACTCGGAAATAGAGTAATGCTCCTTCTTTCGAAGCAAAAAGAGAATCTGCCTGCATTTCTTCCAGTATGTAAGGTTGGATATCTTCGATGCGATGGACTGATCTCCTAGGCTAAATAGATCTTAGTCGAAATGCCAATCCATTAATCATAATCAACGGAACAAAAAAACCGAACCGGACACTAAACCAGTCGAGAAAATGAGTCAGGTCAGGGTTAGCCCAGTAATAATTAAAATAATACTCCTCTAGTCCTATCTATAAGTTATTTTCAATATATTTCACGCAAACCAAAAAAAATCTTAAATTTTATTAACTCTTATTTAAAATTTCACAATTTTTCAACTTTAATCCTATTTAATATACATTATACTTCATGTAAACAAAGTCAATACAATAATAAATAGAGGGTAAAATTGTATATCCATATAAAAAAATTTTCTCCGTACCTTATAAATAAAACCAAAATATGTCTTCTCTCTCTGTCCATAAATAGAACCAAAGGAGTATAATTTAATTACAAAATATTTGTGTATATAGTTTTTTTTCTTCTTATTTTATTTCCTTTTTCTCTTTCCCCCCCCTTTTTTCCTCACATGGCCCAATGCAATCTTTTTTCTCTTGTTATTTTATACTTTTATCTCTTCCTTCTCTCTCTCTCTCTCACGTGAACATTAAACATTTTCTTATTCATGACAGATATCACAAGGTCACTTTTTTCTTCCTCTCTCCTCCTTGAATGGCAGATTACTTATTGGAAGTTGAAACATGCATAGTTCTTCTCTTTCTCATTCAAATTCTGAACTGATCGAGATAGTAGGTTAAGGATCAATGAGTTAGACCGGGGTTAGACTGGATTGGACCGATAATAATTAAAATAATATAATTTAATTACAAAATATTTATGTATATAATTTTTTTCTTATTTTTATTTCCTTTTTCTCTCCCCCCCTTTTTCCTCACATGGCCCAATGCAATCTTTTTTTCTCATTATTTTATACTTTTATATTTTCCTTCTCTCTCTCACGTGAACGTTAAACATTTTCTTGTTCATAACACATATCACAAGGTCACCTTTTTCTTCCTCTCTCCTTCTTGAACGGTAGATTACTTCTTGAAAGTTGAAGCATGCATGGTTCTTCTCATTCTAATTCAAATTCTGAAATTCGTTCCTCCCTCTTCATTTCTCTTTCTTTTCTCAAACAGAGATGATAAATAGTAACAATTTTTTTCTCTCTACACATACATTTTACTCTATTACTTATCTTCCTCCTTACCTTTCACTCTTCCATGAGCACAAGTTCGAAGCGGCACACAAGAGAATTCCAAATAGGTCTTTCTTTTCATGATTTTTTCTGTTTCTACCACTTCTCTCAACAATGTTCATGTCTTCTCCAGTGAATGGTGAGATGGTAAGAGTGAAAAAGAAGAAATAGGGAAGAAAACCATTGACCCACCCAACCCAACGGTTTTTCTGGTTTTCACCAATTTTTTTCCGATTCATTCCGGTTTGTTCCGGTTTGATTTGAAGTCAATTCATTCTTCAAACCAGACCGGATTGGAGACTAATTCATCAGTTTTTCAGTTGAACTGGTCGATTTGATCTAGTTTTTTTTTCATTTCTTTGAATTGATAGAATCATATTAATTAATTTATAACGTGGCCAACTAATGATGTTATTAACATTACCTCCATCAAGAATTATATACGTGTTCTAATCAAAGTAGCATAATACGGAGTCCCTAATTAATTTAACTAAGTAGTTGTTTAGGAAAAAGAGGATGATCAGAGGTTAATGAATTGGTGGGGGATATATGAACCTTTTCCAGGTGTCATAATTATAAGAGTTTTGCTAGGTTAACATGATCTCATAATGCATGTCTAAGTAACAAGAGGCATTGTTTGAGAGGACTCGCTAAAAGATGCAACCTCAATTAATATATTTTATCCTTTTTAATCTGAAATTAACAAGAACAAGTAGCATTTAATTTGATTCAACCCAATAATGAAGTTGGACACGTGAGGGGACGATTCATTAATGAGAGGGTTTTGTTGCAGGACACAGTTTTATGTATTGCCTATAAGACACTAACATAAAATAGCCTTATTTGGTAGAGGCATCATTGATTTTGCTTTGCATGTACGTGTTGTTCTATTATAAGGCTCCTGGTCCTTATTCTTGACACCCACCCGCCAACCAACACGCTTTGTGTCGTAAAGAAATGGAATTAAAAAAGTTTGTGCAAGTTTTAAGCCTTTATGAAACAAAAGCCTGTTTAGATTGCTTTCTCATTATTATGGACAGGCGTAACTTGCACCTTAACTCCATTATTAAGCTTACAAAAGTAAGTAATTGTTCCCTGCTATGTAACTCAGTCAATGGTGGAACTAGGCACTGCCCTACTTTAGCATATGTACTAATCTAAAGGAATTATGAGGCTTGCTTCTAGAGATAAAGTGAACGAATTATGTTATTTTGGAGTTAAGGGGAAAGGATATCAATTTGCTAATCACTGGAACTTATAAAAGTGATGAATTTGGGTCCTCTCAACAGCAAAGAAGAAATGGGCAGGTGGAAAGCTTAAGCGCGGACTTAGGTCTATTGGCACAAATAGTTTAATTGGAGAAATGATCGAGAGAGGCAAAGGCATGGCATTATGAGATTCTAAAATATGAATGGTGAGGGACCTAAGGGACTGGCCTGGGCTCATGTTGATACACTGAGTGACACCTAAACCATGAACAAATATATTGGGAAGGGGTGTGTACGGTCAAAGATGATGACCCCCATGAGGGTGCTTACACCCACCTACCAACACAATCACTCTTTGCAAACTAAACACCTTCCATCTTACCTCTAACTATAAATTATTTGGAACTGAGGCCACCTCAACAACTCTTTGTTTATTGCCATTATAGGTACCCGTGTCAAACCCTCAACAATGCAAACTCCAATTATCGAGGCTTCCTAAAACTGTATATGCTACAAGTGTATTACAGTCCATGTGTCTCTTCATTTATAAAATGAAAGAATCTAATGCAGACATCCAATGATACTAGGTAATTAGTGTATTAAAGAAAGTGTCAGACACACGAGGGTATATAACTATATATTATCTGTACATGACAGAACATAAGGATTTGGCATCTGGGCCATATTGTTACTCAATGGGGAAGTCAATTATGCAACGTTATTCTTCTTGAAAGGCTTTAGATACAGATTGATAATATTTGGATGGTGTTAATTATATTACAAGGCACATATATAACAAATGCTCAAATGAATAGAATTTTGTATCAAAAATATGCGATATAATGACCCTGATCATGCGCAGTCGGTGACGGTACACAGAGAGATATAGAGTGCTGTATATACAGAGAGAGGTTCTACTATTAATAATTTTGAGAGCATATTATTCATATAAAGGTTATGCTCAAATGAGGACCACATATAACTTTTAAGTAGTGATCATACTGTTGTCTCTGCCAATGTATGGTAAAGCTAGAGCAGAAGACTAATGAACTTGTCATTTCACTGCCATACGTATCAATTCACTAAAAGGTACAACTGACCTTTTGCTAAATCTAACTCGCCACCAATGGCAATGTCTTTAGTTTTTTGTGAGCCCATAGTATAAACTATTCATTTTACAAGATCATGCATCTTTATCTTTACACGTGTGAGTGTGACAAGTAAAGTGTGAGAAGCTGATTTACATAAAAGCTACCGATAGGAAATCTATTAATATGGCATCCAGTATCATGAATTAGTGTCTGTGTTTTGGAACAGAGCCCAAAACTTCTAAATGATGAATATAGACATCCCCTTGTTGTTCAACAAAGATGTCAACCATATCATATATTTACAAGCATTAATTGAGTCGGGGATTATCAGTAGTAGAAATTTGACAAGTGGCAAGAAAACCCAAAAAAAAAAAAAACACAATACGCATAAGATTATTCCACGTAGTCAATCTGTGGGTCAACAGGACAAGATAAATGGTTAATCTTTGTTTAATTCTTTGTTTTGCATGTGTGTGGGGATGAAGGTAAAAGGAAGCCATTGGTAAGTCGAAACAAAGTATGAGAATAATGTAATCCCACAAAAATACCAGGTTAAATTGATTGGCTTGAGCTGCTTATATGGATGCCTAATAATGAGTTGTTAATCTAGCAAAAGACAATATGGTTCACCACACCCAAAAAGAGTGAGAATACCAAAAAGTTGGTGCTTCCATACATACTGTGTATTATATGTAGTGAGAATTGTTGACATTGCTTTTGCATATATATTTAATTCAATTATTCTAACCTAGCCCTTCTATATAAGGACCTTCACCACCCTTCCCCTTTACTCACCAGCCTTTGCTCTTCTAGCTGCCTAGTCTTCTTCTTCTTCTCTTTCTCTTTCAATTGCTCATAATATTATCTTCTAGTTCAAATTTTTGAGATCATGGAGAAGAAAGCCCTCCTCGGACTTGTGGTTATCCTTCTAGCTCTGTCCCATGTTGCTTCTGTTCCTGCATCCAGTAAGTTTCTAGGGTTTCCTTTTTAACCCTTTTAGGGCTTTGATAATTTGTATGATTTGTTAACGCATATATTATTTGGACTTTGAGAATGCATACTTATGATTTTGTCCGCAATATATAGGAAGCCTTGTGGCCAAACAAGCGGATCCATCACCAGTGCTGCAAGATCATCATGTTAAGGTCCCTTCTCTCTCTTTTCTTTTTTTCCCATGATCTTTCCTCTTGGATCTCAACTGGTGAGATTTCACCACATATCAAGAAAGCCTGTGATGCTTTGGGTCTTTAAAAATTGAAATAAAAGGGGAAAAAAAACTATAAATAACCTTCAAAACAAACCATATGCTTGTGCCCTAGCTAACTGGCAATCCGACATAATGAATTTTGGTTTTTCACATATATATACTCATTGACTGCTCTATATATGGATATGCAATTAATCTCTTCCAATTTATACAAGCCTTAAATCTATATATATATATATATATATATATATATATATATAGCAACCACATCATTGGTTTTATGGTCAATTGGTATATTCAAAAAAAATGAATAATTTGGTCTTACCTTAATTAACTGCCGTGATCTCATAACTGTTAAGTCATGCAGGAGGCCACGGACTTAAAAACCAGTACTGAGGAGGCTTTTGAGATGGAGAAAGATGCAGGAGAGGGCAGAATGATGATGGATGTTGTAGACTATTCCGGACCAAAACCAAATCCAGCACATAATCCAAGATCCCCAGGAAAACCTGGGTTTTAATAATTGGGATATATAGATTAAGACATATATGTGTGTGTCTGATGTGGTTTAAGAGTGAAGAAGAATCTTAAATAATAGTTTGGATTTCTCCGGTGTGCTTACGTATATGTATGTGTGTAATGGGCGCGTGTCGGTTAGCGCCTCTGTCGAAGGATTCAGCTCAGTTAATACGGGCTGATTGGTATATCTGGAAGCTGTATTGTTCTATTCAGAAAAGTCTAATGCAGTTTGTTTGGTAGATCAATATATGTATAAAATTATCGTTGATCAGTTCTGTAATATCTTTATTAAACTTTCTATAGCTAGTTGGTGATATCCGAATGAATTAGACTTTTGGTTTCCGCCTGTGATGTATATATTACGTGTTACAGTCATAATGGACACAGTATTATTAATTTCAAATGACGAGCAGTACGGAACATATTAATTCATACATGCACATATATTACATACAGGGCTTGATGAAGATAAAACCTGAAACGACATCTTAAAAACTGGGCTTCGAATAAAGTCATATGTCTGGTCCTCAAAATTGAACATCGAGATTTTATCCTTCTGATGTTTACAGGAGATCGCACTATCTAACCTTACTTCTCTTTACCCACAAACAATCCAAAAGCTTGCTCGGCAAAGATTGCCAATTTAGCTGCCAGAAAAATTATAAGGAGCTCGAGATGATCATATTTTACTTCATTTGATTGTAAAGCATCCAATTTAAATGAACAAAAAAAAAATTACATTTTCCTTTGTATATACGAAATTTAAGAAATGATTCACATTATTTGCAACAACTGTAAAATAAAGGAATCAGCTCTTCATATATTTGCAATCCAGTAGGGAATTTCTTCTGCAGGCTATAATCAGAATGAGAGAATCAGTAAGCGTTCTGCACAATGCAAATTGACTCTATCTTAGCGTACAAAACATGAATGATTTTATATACGTATTATTGTTAAATATCATAATTAAAATTATTTATACTTTTTGTTTTATGGTTTAAATTTTATATTGATATTTTTGGGGCCTCCATATATGAGAGCTCTTAGGATTAAGCAGCACACCAAGTGTTTATACTCTAGCTAGTTGTATTTTCTCGAGTAAAATCAATTGTTCGTATAAAATATAACAGACATGTATTTTGTCCATTGAGCTCAAAAGATTTTTATGTGGCTGGACATGTTAAATATTATAATAGAATTATACATAAGTATAAACTTAATAATTAGTTTTAAATCTCAAATTATAAGCAGATAGACACTTTAAAAACTAAATAAAAAAAGATCTGGAGGACAATAGATTGTTTTGTTGCCTGCATGGAAGCACTTAGGTCCTTTATTAAATTAAATGCCTGTGAATAATTAGTTGAGAGAATTTTTTTTTTTAATCAGATTGCGGTTGAGAGAATAGCTTTAATCAAGGTGTCCACATGAATTAGTGAATCATATACAAATGAAGTAGAGATCCATTCAAACGTGGTTTATTCCTGATCACATAGTAATTAACTTTGTTTGACTGGCTGGTTACATTGCGATTGGTTGAACAGACTGGAATGTTGAATATATTAATTGTTAATTCACTCCCCGAAATCTCCAAATCCGACAGTAACATTGTAATTATGAGAAAGTAAAAATCTTACTATTAAAGACTAAGAACACAAGGATAGTCTTTATATGTGTGTGTGTGTGTATATAAAGCAGCTCATTATGGTTTAAGAACTAATTGTGTTTACGGCTAATTATATTTAGGTAAGCATACATACGAACGATGAAGCGCCGTATTTCCATAATAGTGCCTGATGAGATTATACTCCTCCGGTCTTTAATATAGAACTAAATTCTTGAGTTGGTTTTGGCCCTAAATATAAGATTCATTTCTCATATTTATCAATTTTCTCTAAATTATCCCTATGAATACTCCCTCAATCATAATCAAGTAGAAGAGAGAAAGTGGTATTAAAAAAAATGATTATGGTGTTTTAGGAAAAATGTGTCACTTTTCTTATAATTAACTAAGCTACCTAACTTTCTTAATCTAATCAAATTAGTTAAATGGGTCTTATATTAAAGACCGGAGGAGTATATATTTGTTTTGATATGGTGATTTGACTTTGGAGCATACGGGTATTTGTTGTTTATTCATCTATGGGAAGAATAATTTATAAACGACAAACTGAAAAGTAGGTTAAAGACAGGGAACAGGGATCTAGTTTCGTTGATGAGCACCATAAATTCATCAAATCTAGACTGTTCATATCTCATTTGGATGGTCTAGATTTGATTTTTTTTTTATTTATCCAAAATAATTATTTTAATATGTATAGAATTTAAAATAAAGATGATCTCTCAACTGTCATTCTTAAAAAAAAAAAAGCTTTTTCTATTTAAAAATAATTAATTAATGATTTTAAATTAAATCGTTCAAATCAGATAAAAACAGCTCAGATTTAATGAGTTTATGATGCTTATCAAAGCGATAAGCATCGAAACTGGTTCCGCGTGTGATTTTTTTACTGGGTAGACTTGCAGATGTGGTCTCTTTGGAAACTATATAATTATAATAAGCAGATATTCACATGATTGATCAAATTAAATATCTAATTAATCGTGTTTTATCGCAGAAGGTAAAGTTAGAGCTTGTTGCGTATAACCAGCACATATAGGGCATCGAACATACAGATTTATGGAGGATTAGATTGTAATCATATAAATTATGTGTCTATAATTCATTCAGGATTAATTAATCATCTTAAAGATCTGATGGTATTTCTATGAGTAGCGTTGTCTTGCTTTTCGGTCAAGTTATAAGTTGCAGTACACGAGTAAATGAAAATAAATTTTAGTTTCATTTATATAATTAAATAGTTTCTTTCAGCGCGAAATAGTAATTCTTATAGTAAAAATAAAAAAAAAGAGAGAATATATCAATTATATCATATCAAGTTCTTCAATCATACTCCTCCGGTCCTAATTATAAGACCCAATTGACTTATTTGAGGAGATTAAGGAAGTAAGTTAAGTTGGTTATTTATAATAAATAAGTGTTGTCATTCCTAAAATATCCTTGCTAATTAAGTATATTGGCTAAAACTATCATTATTAGAAGGATTATCTTGGAAAAAAATGCATAAATATAATAGACAAAATGGATTAGGGTCTTATAATTAGGACCAAATAAAAAGTCAAATGGGGTCTTATAATAAGGACCGGAGGAGTACATGATTATATGTTGTATTTTTAAAATATTACTCATAACATTTAATATTATTGAATTATAGATTCATATGCAATAAAAAAAATACATATTTGTGTATGATTGTAAAACTTGACACAATAAATATAAAAAACTTGATATAAGTTTTTCTCACAGAAGAAGTCGAGCTCACGCGTTGGGAAGGATTTGATTTGACCACAATTTGTTTTCCCGGACATGATAATTAGTGAATTAATTGGCTTATTGTGACGGGATCCGGTAATTAAGTAGCTTCTACTTGGTTGTTGTTTTGTGCAATCATTCTGCGAAGAGACAAGGGGTCCACATTTTACAAAGCAACGGAGTTAAGTGAAATATCGATAGTACGGCAATATATGATGAGAGGGATGCAATTAATTAGCTAAAGACAATCAATTAGCCGTCATAAAACATTAAACAAATGTTTTGCTTTAATTAAAACCACGACTTTGACAATGTGACGATAAGGACGGTCACACTCAACACCAACTTGAACATGCCTCTGCCCAATTATGGCTGTGTCGAAATGAAACTAGTGAATTAATTAATGGTGTGTGGAAGACCTGAGCGGGACAAATGGGGGCCAAAATAAAAGGCTGCTTATCTGAAGAATAAACAAATGAGAACAGAAACGCTCCTCACGTATTGGGTAGGACCATTTTAAGACTTCAGTGTAGCTGGGCATGATTATGTCTCAGTGCATCCCCAGAAACAAGCCTTTCCAATGGCTGTGAATTTGATTTCTGAAGCTATGGATGTGGTATTTTCAGATCCACATACATATATATAATTCGCGTTAATAGTGGCATTTCTTTAATCATCCGGATGCAAGTACCAGCGTACGCTAGAGTTCAATTCCTTTTTTTTTTCCAATTAAATAAATAAATTAGTGTACCTTATATATACATGCTGGGATTGGAAGCAACGAGCTCGTTAGGACCTCGCAATCATGCTCTCTTATATTTTATTTCATTTTTTTAAAATCTATTTTTCTTCTCAAAATGACGGTTTGCAGTGTGTACATATGAAAAGGAACTGTTGAACTTGAAGAAATATTAAAATTTATTTGTTTCGAGAAGTATATACAGTTATTTTATTGTCATGTGCGCGTGTGTTCTTTTATCGATTTTTTTGAGCAAAATGATTAAGTAGTTTTTTTTTTATACAAAATGATTTAATACCACCCTCACTCCTTAATATAAAAACTTATTTAAATTTTATTTTGATCTTAAATATAAGACCCTAATCCGTTTTGTCATTCATATTTATCTTTTTTTTTTCAAGATAGTTCTTGTAATAATTGTAGTTCTAGTCAATACAAACTTAATTAGTAAAAATATTTTAGAAAAAATAATATTTATTTATTATAAATGACTAAATTAATTAATTTTTTTAATCTATCTAAATTAATTAACTAATGTTTATATTAAGATCGGAGGCAGTAGTTATTTTGACTGCAGTAATAATTATATGGAAGAGATGAAACTTGTTAGTGGGAGGTGTATGGCTGGGTCATATGAGGCCCAATTAAGAGGAGATTGGAAATTAGCGGGTGCAGCCCATCTCTAGAATGGGCTTTGTGGGGAGGCGAGGAAGAACGTCAGGAGTCGGAAATAATGAGAAATAACGTCGGCCGGTGTCTCCTTGTGAGGAATCATGTTAAGGAATCTCCCAACTCATCTCAATATGCTATCCTGTCTCCTTGAAGGTATGATCAGCTGAGCTGCCCGTTACCCTCCCATCCTATTTTCATTTTCATTTCTCTTACACATTAATAATAATGAAATTTACTCCCTTCACCCCTAAATATGAGTTATCATTTTTGGAATAAGCTGTTTTTGTAATAAATTACACTTCATACGTGTTTAAAATTCTAATTCACTTTTTTTTCCATTCTTCTATTTGTTGATTATACTTCTCTGCATTAGTTATATTGTTTTCTCTTCTTTTTTATTTATTATCTCTCACTCATCCTTTTTATAAATAAGTGTGTATCTATGGAAAGAATATTACATTTTTATAAATTTCCGGTA